GCCATCAAGACCAAGCTACTGCAGGAGCTGCAGGCACCTTCGTCGAATGCGGCACTACTGACAAAAGGGAAGTGTGGAGTATTCAACAGGCAGCAGAAAACGGTCAACCAATCCAAGACGGAATCAAAAGGACACAGTGCAGGAAGTGTAAGAAATTCGGCCACATCGCAAAATATTGTAGAAGTTTTTTGCACTGTGTTGTCGTCGATTGAGTCGAACAGCAGCACCGATTGGATTTTCGACTCCGGAGCAACACAGTTCACATGACTCACAACAAGGTGCTGTTGAAGGATCTGAAGCCATCGAGTGGTAATGTTGTTGTGGCCAAGCAGGGCGAAATGAGCATTGAAGCTATCGGAAAAACGGTTCTGAGGCCACATTGTCGGGAAAGCAGTTCTGGACTTAAAGTCAACGAGGTACGATATATCCCTCAGTTATCAGTGAATCTCCTTTCCGGCAACAGGATTGTGAAAAATGGATACACCATGGTTTTTGCAAACCTAGGTTGTAGAATGCTGAATACGAGTGGCGATGTAGTGGCAATACATGAATGATTTCTTGAGGCTGGACCAGCACAACATATGCGACAAGGTACTGGCATGCTCATCAGCTGTGTCCCTGGATATGTGATATCGACGAATAGGCCATCTGAATTTGGCGAGATTAAAGAAGCTGGCGGATGGGCTAGTTGATGGCGTAGTGCTGAGTGAAAAGACTGACAGCGATTGGAGGTCGTACACTCGGACATCTATGGTCCAATGGAAGTCAAGTCGTTAGGAAGAAGCAGATATTGTATTTGTGGATGACAAGTCAAAACGGATGTTTGTCTATTTTCTGCGATCAAAGTCGGAAGGCAAAGTTCTGGATACATTCAGACAATTCCATGTAATGGCAGAGCGACAAACTGGACATAAGGTCAAAATCATCCGAACCGACAACGGGTTGGAATATACAAACCGGAAGTTTTCGGAATACTTTGCAAAGTTTTGTTATCCGGCATCAAACCAAGAATAGCTACACTCTGGAACAAAATGGACTGGCTGAGAGGGCGAATCGGTCGATAGTGGAACGTGCGAGGTATATGCTTTTTGAAGCGAACATTCAAAAACATTTTTGGGCAGAAGCTGATGATGTCACACCTGAAGAGCTCTGGAGCGGAAAGAGCAATAATAGTTCACGTTCCAAAACCAAAACGACGCAAATGAGATGCAAAATCGGAAGCATGCTTTTTGGTAGGATTGGATGAAAATACCAAGGGTTATTTTTTATTTGACCTGTAGACCAGAAAGATTGCCTAGAGTCGGGATGTTAGATTCATGAACGAAGGGACAATTGTAAGTCGTAAATTGAAAGCTGATCTAGGAGGTGGTCGGTGATCAGACTAGATGTTGAAGAAACTGTGTCATGGAAAAAACGAGACTTGAAGTGTTGCCGTTCCTCACAGACTTCCCAATCTGATGTTGCGCAAGGTGTGGAGCCGAACCAATCTGTGGAACCAGACAAGTTGGGCCAATTTAGAAGATTGGGGACTCAGTAGCAGATCGACATTTTAAACGATCCTGATACGCCACAAGAAGCGATGTCGCGTCCCGATGCCGAAAAGTGGAAGGTAGCCATGCAGGAGGGGTACGATGCGTTGATCAGCAACGGTACCTGGACCCTGGCGAAAATGCATGTGGATATACAAGATAAAACACGATTCGAGCGGAAATGCGGACCGACACAAGGCGAGGTTGGTCTCAAACAGTCGAGCCGAATCTGGAACAACAAGTTGGATTCGACGTTGAAGACGTTTAGTCTTATTCAGGCAAACTATGACCACTGTGTGTGAGATGACCGACAAGCTTAACAAGGAAATGTCACCAAAAACCCCGGACGAGACGAACCAGATGGCCAACGTTCCGTATCAGGAAGCAATCGACAGCCTGCTGTACTTGGCTCAATGTACCCGACCGGATATTCTTTTCGCTGTGAACCAGCTAAGCCGTTACAATTCAAATCCAGGAATGCAACATTGGAGTGCTGTCAAGCATTTGTTCCGTTACCTCAGTGGACGTTCGAAAATGAAGCAGTAAGGATGCCAACGATGAAGTTATTGGATACAGTGACGCGGACTGGGCAGCTGATCTGGATGACAGGAAATCAACAAGTGGTTATATATTCAAGCTACAGGGTTCAGCGATTTCCTGGTGCTGTAAGCGGCAGCCTACGATCGCTTTATCTAAGTGTGAAGCTGAGTATTTGGCCCTATCTGCAGCAGTACAAGAAGCAACGTGGTGGAAAGGATTGATGTCACAATTCCAAGAAATATAAACAAACCACCACTGGATGTCAAGCTGATGAACGCGGGTTCATCGCGTTCATTCGTGACGTCAGCGTACAGCATCCTATTAGGTACTGCAGCGTGACGTCATAAATGAACTCAGTGTTAATCGGCTGAACCTTTTTGACAGTTCAGTGGTACTGTTTACAAGCACTTCGTCGTTTTTTTCGAAAAAAAAATTTCTAAAATTTCTGAATTTTAACTTGAAAATTGTCGAGGAACAGCGCGTTGCAAGGATGTTGCTCGTGAACATTGCAGAAATGCTGTTTACATCTCACTGCAGTCTGAAAATCCACCCAAGAAAAAATCGACTAAGTCCACGTAAACAGTACCACTGAACTGTCATCAGATTGAGGTTAACCCCGACGGTGCAAAACCTAATTCGAAGGTGTTGTGCTTCTTTAGAGCGTCTTTCTCTATCTACAGGCTGTCTACTAATTTATCTAAATAACATTCTAAATTCTAAATAAATTTCCCAAAAGTTTTCAAAGGGAAATTTCCAGACTATTTTTTTAAAATTTGTTAAAAATATGCTTTTTAAAAAAAATAAAACAACAGCAATTAACACAAACGTTTTTAAGACACGTCAATCAGTTTAGCAGCGCCGGTGGTGGTGGTTCAATCCCAGTTGGCGCCGCCGGGATGTTGTGAGGCATAACCGGGCATAACATCTCTGATCACGTAAAGTAAAGCCGTTGGTCCCCGGTTCATGAGTTGATGGGTCGATAGGTAGGGTCCAGATGTGGGAGCTGCCTCCCTGGCGTCGGTGGCATTGGGGCTCAGCACGGAAAACACGATCGACAGAAAAAAAATCAAGGAAAAGAAAAGGTATTGAAGTAATTGCATATTCGTAATCTGCATGCCAAATGAAACCGAAATCCAAAATTTCATCAATTTTGGTGCACTGGAACTATTTTAAATAATAGCGATTACATTAGCAAAAATCACCATCTTGGTGCCCCTCGGTGGTACTTCGTATGTGAGCGAGCTGCCAATTGGTTAGTTTTGTGTCAAAAAGTGAAGTGATTATTTTGCTTTTAATCTTGATTTAAAAAAAATGAGATGGAAGTAACTGCGATCGAAAAAAATTTCGTTGTGCTCAGAAAACGAAGCTGTTTCAGATGATGTATAGGGGACTTTACGTATTCTCGGCAACCTAAGCAGCGACCTTCTTTCTATAGCCTTTTTCTCTAAGGAACGCACACATAGGCAGTATTGGTTTGTTTACAATCTTTTGCTGCCAGCTGCTGTAACAATTTCAGTCGAAAGAATTGTCAAAAACTGTTTTGAAACGCTTTTACAAAGCTCCAATCTTCTCTAGTGAGAGCGAGTATTGTCGGCAACCAGTTTTTCTTCGGCAACCGTTCCATTTGAACTGCATGTAAATCTGCTGTTCTATTATCGGCAACTTGAAATCAGCTACAATTTGTAGTGCGTGTGTTGCATTTCAAGAAAACCTTGCTAGATTGCTTTTTCTCAGTGGTACAAATATAGTCAAATTGAAGCTGAAAGCATAAAGAATCGTTTGCATGCATTCAGCGAAGTGTTTTCGTAAGAAAATCCAGTGAAAATAGTGTTTCAATTTGGGTTGCCGAAAATAGTCTGTCATGCCGAAGCCGTCATTTCCCCTATATATAGTAACCGATATATTTTTCAAAATTAAAGGACCCAATTGGGTTGTTTAACTTCGAAAAATATACCGATTTTTATACATCATCTGATAGAGCTTCGTTTTCTGAGCACAACGATATTTTTATCGATCCCGTAGATATTCATCTTGATTTTTAAATCAATATTTAAATTTTTGATCGTTAACACTAAATCTCGATGAACATTTCAAATGGTCCTATCTGCTTTGATCGATTCTCTTCATCGACTTTCTCTTTCGTCAATAACTCAGCTGCAAAACCTTTTCCTGTTGTATTTGACGTTTTGGACGCTAGATAAGAACCTCCTTTATCAAACTATGTGGTAAAATTAGCGCGAAATCTGTTTGCATAGCAGTGGTTATGAAAAGAGAAAGTCGATGAAGAGAATCGATCAAAGCAGATAGGACCATTTGAAATGTTCATCGAGAAATCTATTCGATGACGGCTCGCTCCCATACAAAGTCCCGCCGAGGGGCGCTTAGATGGTGATTTTTGCTAATGTAATCGTACTTATTTAAAATAGTTCCAGTGTATCAAACTTGATGAAATTTTGGATTTCGATTCCATTTTTAATGCAAATAACGAATATGTGCTTACCTCAATATCCCTAAACAACCCAATTACCTCAATACCTCTAAAGAGCCCAATTGCCGCAGTCGGCGATAATGTATGAGTGTGACACTCGGTAGGTACTATGAATGAGGCTTAAAAAATCAATTCGTAGCCGTTATCTACCTGCTATAGAACATCAGCGTCCGATTCATGTACGATATTTACCTGCTTATTAATCCCAACCGAGCAACCAAAATAAGCGCTGGAAATGTAGTTTTGTTTACCAGTTCGCAGTTCAAACTGGCAGCACTGGCCTGAGTAGCATAAAAATAATAAACAAACCATCATTCGCAAGAGCGCAGTGCAGCATGACCACCGCGCTGCGCATAGAAAAAATCCCTTCCCAAAGTGAGGGGGAAATTTTTCAAACCACCACCCAAACTGTCACAATCGCTTCGCTCGAGTGTGCGTGAGATCGTGGCGTTCGTGTAGGTTCGGTTTGTTTGGGCGTCCTCCGGGTTCTTTTATTTTGATTGAATTTTATATTTTTATATACCTCGTCATTGTCGCGTGCCGGTTTAGCCAGGAATCTTCCTATGTTTTTTTATGATGGTTTTAATCATTCAGTGTGTGTTTAGCAGTTAAGTTAAAATGTCTCGCGCAGAAAATTACCTCGCTCTGTGCTTGCTGGATGCGATGGAGGATGAAAACTTGGGTTCGCTGCGCGTTTTGCTGGAGAAACACAAGGCCAACCCGAATGCTATTGTTCTGGAGAAGAACGTTGCTCCGGTCCATTTGGTGTTGGGAGCGGATAACGTAAGGTTTTCGGAGCAAGCGACAAGTTTGATGCTGCAGTATGGGGCCAATCCAAACCTCCGGTCGGACGAGGAAGGAATGACTCCATTGCACGTTGCGGCCAATTTGGGACGACCACGGTTGGTAGAGATGTTGCTGAAGGCAGGAGCAGATGTGGACATGCGGGATCGTGATGCTAAATTGCCGGTGGAGTATGCCGTTGAGGAAGGGCACTTTGAAGTAGTAAAGGTGATGCAGAATTTCGTTTTTGAGAAAAAGTTCGAGAAGAAACGGAACGAACTTGCTCAGAGGGAGCAGCAAAACGGGACTGTCGCTGGAGGGTTCGTCAAATGCCTTGGCGGTTTCTTGAGGATTGATACCCCGACCAAGAATAGCTTGTTGTGTGAAGAGAGTAAGCTGACACCGAATCGAGTTCATTACAATTTCGATGCTACGTCGCCTTACTATATTAATATTACACATCGAAGAAAGGAAGGCGATAAACGCACGAAGAATAACATCAATCGGGCTATCGTTCATATGCAAGAAGAAGACCTTGAGGGAACCAGGCTGAGCGACGATACTGAGATAATAATGGCTCGAAAGAACCTGTTCGAACTAACGGAGCGAAATTTAGCTAGCTTTAGTCAAAATATTTCGACGACAGGGGACCGAACTAGAACCTCGTTCATCGAATGTTGGCGAGACAAAATAGCTGCTCTACGAACACGGAACAAGTTGAGCACAAACATTGAGGACATTGAAAAAATATTATCTGGCTTCTCCAATAGCTCGCTGGAAGACGATATTGATCGGCGAACCTACACAGTAGAATCGAACGAATCTGATTTCGCTTCGGACTCCGAACCAACCAATGCAGCATTCCAAACTGCCTTCGAACAACCAGCCAAACACGAAGACAGCTTGCGGACAAACGAGTTTGCCCTGGCACTGTGCCCATCACCTGAATTGGTGCAATCAGACAGGTCACCCTTCCCGGAAGCGCACAATCGGGTCATTCAGATCACGGAAGAATACATCCACACCGACGATGAAGCCGGTTTGGTATTCTACGAGAAAAAGTTCTTGTCTGCTCCGGTTGCCAAAAACACCGGCCAACAAAATACATCACTGTCTAGTCAATCCACTGCCTTGACCTTGCCTCCGCTAGATTACGACACCGATGCCCTACGAGCGGAACTCACCAACTTCGGTGAACCACCTGGACCCATTACGAAGCATACGAAAAAGTTGTACCTCAAGAAGCTGATCAAATATAAGCGGGATCCGGAACGTGCACTGGCTCAAGTCAAGAGTAAATTGCAACCGAGTAAGTATATCCTATGCGATCAAAGCAGCTTATGCAATGCTTCGCGCACTAATCCGTCATTTTTCAACCAAAATCCGTTCCCCACGCTCCCCAGATTTTTCCGTTGAGCTGCTGGCAACGCTTCGCAGCGAAGATGTCTTCGGAAAAATTCCGCAACATCAAGAATTGGAAACGGAAATGTCCAGCGAGTTTACGACGACCAACGATAAAACCTGGCGCGAGGGGCACCTGAAAAAGAGTTTTATCTACCTCCTGATCGATCCTCGAATGTCGGAAAATCTCCCGGCCCAGCAGAATCTTTCCTCGCAGCACGATCTGTGGAAGCGCTTCCTGCAGTCGATTTTCTACGTTGGCAAAGGCAAAAGCAGTCGTCCCTATTGCCACCTGTACGATGCCATGAAGCTGTATCAGCAAAAATCCAACGAAACCAACGGATTGAAACCCCCGGACCAGGTCGTTCAGCTGCAGGTGGAAGAAGAGCAAATCATCTTCCAAAGCGACGAACGAATTGAGCGGGTGTGTCGGACAACGAAAATCCTCAACCGGAAGCAGATGAACGATAGCGCCAAACTGAACAAGATAATCGACATTTGGCGCGCCCAGCGGGGCGTCATTTGTCTGCACGTGTTCCACAATGTAATGCCGGCGGAAGCGTACACCCGGGAGGCGGCCATAATCGATGCGCTGGGGGTGCAGAATTTAACCAATCTGAAGCGGGGCGATTACTACGGGAAGTCACTGTCGTGGCCGATGAAGCGGCGGAAGCAGTTGGGCATCCTGCTGTTGTACAAGGCCTTGCTGATCTACCTGGCCGAGGGCGAGACGCAACTGCTGCCAAGTGATTTGATTTGAAGCGCGAGGCTTCCCGAGGCAAAAGTATGTTATTTGTATTTTTGCTAGTATTTTTATTTTTATGGAACGGTTAATAAATTTCTTATCGTGCATTGCCACTCCAGGTGCGGTGCAATATGTGACCTGTAAGGACTAAACTTTCTATTCGGGGCTTGTTTGTCTTCATTGTGGAACCTTTTAGTCGTGGGTCTTCGGGAAAAATGTTCTTTATCTCAACAATTATCTGACAAACATAATATTGCGTGTATCTGCCTGCGAATGGGAACACACTATAGCTGGTACACCAAGCCTATATAGTTTACTCTCTCATACCACCGCAAATAACATCCGTCCCGAACACTGCACGGTGTAGTAAGAAGAGATCTTCGTCGTTCCAAAATGCTTCTGTCAATTTGACGAATCCAACTTAAGGTGATACTCTAAGGAAGCCTTAGCGTGAAACTTCAAAGGCACAAATGTCAGCTTCCACAAAACATACAAATTTGAAATTGCTACTCTCTGTTTGTAGTAGCACAGTAGTAAACTAATGTCGTTTCCGTTTTTGCGGTGTAGCACTGGTGCAGTGTAAGCAGGAATAAGCGCGAGTCTTTGACAGCTCAACATCATTTGTTTGTAAACAAAGGTGCATCCTATATCTACACCCTAAAATATTTCGGTGTACGGCAGTGTAGCACCGGTGTAGCTACACCGCAAAAACGAAGACGAGTTAATGCGCGCCTGGTGACAGGAGTAAGCACCTGGGACGGGACTTGACAATCGGGTAGCGATTTAGAGCCAATTTGCTGTCAAATCCAAGCCAGTTGCTGATTGGTCGATTTGACAGTAGCAATCGTGGTAAAAAAACCACCAAGGGACAGCCCTATGGGGTTGTACCAAAGACAACATATCCAGAAGACTCTCAACTCTTCCATTTTCTCGTACACCGCTATGAGACAGGTACAATCGCGTCATCTGCTGCTCAAAGGTAAATGCTTTGAACGAATTTGATAGCAAAGATTACATCCTCAGAAGAAAGGTTTGTGTATTTGCTCATTTCTCTATGCGTTGTTTCCACCTTCACTCAAGCGCAGCGCTACTGTATCTGTCGCTTGGCTTCTGGAAAAGTTGCCAGTTTTCTTGATATGATGTCTTTGGTTGTAAGCAATGGTGACGTATTACTACGTGGTCTAATATAATAAATCTTATTTGTTAATTGCAGCAGGAGCTTGTGTTTTGTGTAGGAATAGGAATTTGAGCGGGGTTCTCTCTGCTTTTACTATTCAGTATGACGTGCTTGACATAGATGGCCCACAGCAACTCACTTTTGGTGAGGGCAGATAGAATTCAACTTTGAAATTTTTGTTAGGGAAATCGCTTTTCGCAGGATATCGGAGATAATTTTAATTATCAATGCAACAGTTGCACATTCGTGCAATTTTCAATAGTGACATTTTGAAAAAATAATAAAATCTTAAATTTATCAGATGCGTGAAAATATATCGGATCGATTGGTGATAAAATTATTGAAATTGGTTCAGGGGCAGCTGAGTTATTAACTTTTAAAATCTTTCATAATTTTGTTACATGTTCAATTTTCTGTTTTAACAAAGTGTACCCCCATATAGAAATCACAGACGTGCAGACAGTGCTATGTAGTTCGTGTAAATATGCTATTAAAATGACTGAATCTTGTACAAAACCTTAAAACGTATTGTGATATGTGTCGATCTTAGAATAAAAATTACTAGTTTTCAAATAAAATTGAAAAAACATGCTAAGGTTATGGACATGGTTATGTTAACAGCCATACCACATCGATTCATGTTGATATGGAAACGTGACAAACCAAATAAAAAAAAGAGCCCATTGTAAAATGTAATCCTATGCAGGCACGCGATGCTGGTTGTTGGTTCAATCCGGATTGTATTCGGTTACGATTTGCAACCAGCGATTGAAGCATGCAGGAATTTTGTTGGTTTTATCATGTTTGTTCATCGATTATTTTTTATTTCACTGCTATTTCAATAATTTAGCACTCAAAATATTAAATTTTACTTAACAGAGAGATTCTACTTATATTATATTTTTTGTGATGATCGGCTAACTATCCGTCTTCGACACAGGCACTTTTGGTACTGCCTTTGTTGTCCCGCTCGTTTGAATCTACCAAACCAGGCGTGATTTCCTCCTACTGGTTTCGCTATAGGGAAGATGATCCTCCGGCGGAAGTACAATATATTGTTTTGATGGCTTCAATATGTCGCACCTCAAACTGTAAAATTAATTGATTTAATTCAATCTCCGATGGGATGATCCTGTAGGATTGCACTCTAAGTTTGAATCCTGTAAAAACATTGTTAAAATTATTTGTTGTTGTTTTGCTGGGAGCAAAATATTTTTCATTTTGAAGAAATCTCAATAATTTGGCATTTAAAAATTAGTATTTACTTACCATTCTTACCGGCGCTACTTTTCCGGCGTTCAAATTTGCTATCTACTACTGAACAGTGTAATTTGACAGATGATCTCAAGTTCATCACCGCTACAATTACAGCACCGCGGTGGCCGGCATTCACTTGGATTTGTCAATTGCATTCACCATCCGTCCCCGCCCCGTCCCGGCCCCGTCCGACGGTGGAGCAAGTCCACTGAACGAAAACATCCGCAATACTTCGAATGATTATTGCATTGCTCGAGCCCTTTAACAATATGCTTTAGAATTTCGGATGATTGCCTTATGGTTAAATTCGTCATCAGCTGATGAGCATCCATATGACTGCCATCCAAAGAAAGGAAGATATTTCAAGCTGAACATTGCATTAGGTCCTAAGTAACATTGACAGATTCTCTTCGTCGACTTTCTTTTCGGATCCCTACGGTCATGTGAAGACAATCCCAGGTATTTTTAGCACACAGATCGATAAAAGAATCTTTTATCTAGCATCGAATACGTCAAAAACATCAAGAAACGGTTCTGTGCTCAAGTTATTAACGAAAGAGAAAGTCGACGAAGAGAATCGATCAATGTTACTTAGGACCTAATGCAATGTTCAGCTTGATTTATTTGAAATCTGGCTGTACAACATACAACAGCGCTCAGAGGACAACAACGTAAAGGCCGGCGCACAATGGATACGTTTTCAGGTTTTTTGACAGTTAGCCCATGCATTATCTGTCAAAAAACCCGAAAACGTATGCATTGTGCGCCGGCCTTAAAAATAGGATGACTTGCAATTGCTTTAAATTGGATTTATAATTCGATTGTTTACATTTCCACATTGAATAGCCATAGACGAGTGCACGGATGGATTTGAGTTCACTCACTCGACAAAAAGTGACACAACAGCGGGGCCCTGGTTACCAAAAATGAACACATGAATAAAGGCCCAAACGCAATGTGGACGGAAGCGGAACGGAAACGGAAAGTTTGACAGTTGTCACAAATGACATTAAGATGCCCAACCGAAGACGATTTGGTTCCAACAAGTTTTCAATCCGACAAGTTGGCTTACTCAGATCGGGCTTTTCCGCTGCCGTTGCCGTTCCGCTTCCGCTGTAATAGCGCTTGGGCCTTAATGCTCGCGTAGCATTTGAAACGGGCCTATCAACTTTTGTACACAAAACTTGTTAGGCCTTTTTCGCGCGAACCGAATACTCCCACGCCAACTAACAGCACCATCGGGTTGGGGAAGTTCTCCCCTTCCCGACAGTGCTCTTAGTTTACGTGGACGTACTTCGGTTCTCGTGAAAAGGACCTAGCAAATTATTTACAAAAGTTGATAGGCCCTTTTCAAATGTTACGCGAGCATTATTCATGTGTTCATTTTTAGTAAACAGGGCCCCGCTGTTGTGTCAATTTTTGTTTAGCAGATGAACAAAAGTTCACCCGTGCACTCGTCTATGAACAGCCCTCGGAACCGAGGGGGACGACTCTATCTACGATGCAAGAAATATTGTGTTTCGCTGTGGCTAGCTGCGCGTACGCTGAGTAGATAGAAAGAAGATTTATCACGATTTTGAAGATTTCCTGCAAAAAGATGATTCGCGATGCAAGTAGATGCGAGAAATGTAAGAAGATTTTTCGAAGATTTATTCGCTAGTGTGAGATTTGTTGAGCATCTAGAATTGAGATTTAGATGTGTCGCCCCCCTCGCTCGGAACAGCCTTTCCAACATGGATGATTTTTTTTTGTCTGTTAGACGAAACGTCCTCCTCCACGAAATTGACAATCTTCGTTTTCCACGCTTTATCAATGTTCGTACCACCTCTGATAGCGATTACTATGTTTCCACCTCGTTTGTCAGTGCAGATCTGCAAATGACGTTAGATAGAATTATTTACACCATCGTTTTGGATGATTTGCGTTATGGGGCTGAACGAATACCTACGAATACTATACAGGGTGTTTGGTTCCGGGTTTTACATATTTTCAGGGTAGATAGGGCTCCTAAAGTTATGAAAAAATCCCCATGAAACATAGGGTCGGAAATGACTGCTAAGTGAGTTATTAAACTTTTTATGTTTTTTTGTATTGCCAACTTTGGTTAGCTATATTTTTTTAATCTTAATGTGGTTTTCTGATTTCAACATACTAAATGAAAGATTAAAGTCTTAGCTATCAATGCTCTTTGAAAAAGAACTCGATTAAAGTTAATTATCATACATTAAAATTGAAAAGTTTGTTGAAAGTACCAAAAAAATTGGTGAAATTTCATACATTTTAGTGTTTTTAAGTTGAAAATTTTCATTTCTGTTTATTTAGTTCTTCTACAAAACATTTTCCATGCAGTTCCCTAGATTTGTGCCTTTGGTAGTAACCTTGTAGGCTTTATGGTTTCTTCGTAATTATTGATTTAAAACAGCCATAAAAACTTGTGACGTTTTCATAAAATGCGCTATAGTCACCCTATTCGTTCGTACGTTCGGCTGTTGCAGTGGACTACGCACATGAAAATTTGGTAGAATGTTATTGTAGATGTTTAGCTACATTCTTAACTTTTGATTACCGCACATCTTCTGCGCCGAAAGAAAACATAACTGCGGAGATGTTTCGCGGT